CAGTACTTCGCAAGTATTTTTAGCTTTTGCAGGAACTAATCAAGTGCTTGCCCGGAATCTTGTTTCGCGGTACCCAAGATACCGTGTATATCTCTTTTTTCGACCATATGTAAAGGGAAGATAAGGTCGATGTGGCTGAATCATAAGAGGTGCAATCAGCGATTCGTGCGTTGGACAGCAGAAATGTAATAAACAAGAGTTTAAGTTTATCTGACTGTAGTGTTTCGATTGTGGACAAAAGATTCACGAGAGTATAGATCCAATGTTTCCATAAGGAGGCAGCATTGGGACTGTCAGGATCAATATCGCAACGATCGGGTCGAAGGACACGTTCCATGATAGATTTTCAGATGGGTAAATTGATATGAGTGAGCAGCAAACATGCGCGTCGGTTCAGACAGGAAACAAGACGAAGGCCTGATTTATAAGGTTGTACTCATCTGAGAATCGAAGGCTGTGAGCTATTAAGCAAAAGAAAATATGTACAGAAAATAATGCAGGTATAGCAAATGTAGGAGAAACACACACCTCCCCTCCAACAACGATCACATACCTGATGCATTATATTACTATTTTAATTTTTATAGCCTGTGGTGTTTAGTATCTTATCTTATATTGCAGCACACTAGCTGATGTGTTCCATCCTCAGCTAATGTGTGTTGACGATTATTATGAATGCATACCAAAGACAGTCAGCTTTATTACCTGCCAGACATACCTCCCAGACATAACTGAAGCACCAGCGTACGTGGTTTGCTGATTTCTTTGTTTCATCCTTTCGCTATCATGTGTGATGGTGATCGGTTGCCTTCGTGTTCTTCCACATAGGTAATTGACGTTAGTATGATGTAACCTATGCAGACCATTTCGGCAGATAAGACTGTTAAACTTCGAAGTTTGTATGGCTTGTGTTAACGCATAGAGAGCCCAAGCACAAATGCCATGCGAGCATAGTTTAAACTAAATAAACAAAATAATAACAGAATATAAGGCCGAAACAATGCGTCTAAAGAGGATTAAAGCAAAGGGTGCTGGTGAGCAACAAGTAGTGAGGCCAATACGAGTGACAAAAAATCGTCTGCTGCAGTGACCACTGGAGCGCCCTGATTGACCTATTTTATGTTCCTCGCCGTCCAATTGAAACACCCATGGGAGGAATTAGATCACTCGAAAAATTGTTCCTGTTCATCTTTAACATACAGGGTAAATGCAATTTCCCGGTTGCAAATATCGTCGACAATAAGCGCAAATCGGTTTCCAAATCGTAATTACGCACTACTAAAGCCTTAAAGCTAAGCCGAAATTCATTAAAATGTGTCTCACTGGGACGGCCAGGGGCACAAAAAACGGAACTGAGGCAAGCTATTGGCCACTCGATCAGACTTAAAGTACGATGCTATTACAAAATAATAATAGGTAAAGACCGGCCGTTTCAATGATGCCTAATAATGATAATATATCTGGGTATATTACGCCATTTAACTTCTTATTCCCTTTTGTCTCTGCCTGTGGCCAAAATCCAGCCCAAATGAGACAGTTGACCATCCAGCTATGCGGAGAGAAAAAAAACTCGGTGCAATCCCTCAAAAGCTAGATGGTGCCTGGAATCTTCAATATTCCAAAATGAACCTGTTTACTGAACAGGCTGTCTCCAAGCTGAGAAAGCCCTACGTGAGGTGTCTTTCGGATCTAACGGAAACTGCGGCTTCTAGTGAATCAGCGGAGGAAATTGTGGGGTAAATTCAAGTTATCTCAAACGGCCTCGGTTTAGTCAAAATACATGCGCTCAATGACCTGCGCTTCGAGGAAAAGCGCTAGAAAAGGAAATAATACGAACAGAATCTGGCTGAGCAATTTTTGGCTAGACTCAAATAACGATGGTTATCTCAATAGAAGGATGAAAGTAGGCTGCGACAGCCGTTTGGTTATCCAACCCGAAAAACACCACACTCTACGAAAATGACGACAGAGCAAACCTTCTGGCCTGGCAATACTCCTCGGTATACTCATCAGAATCCTTACCGATCAACAGACATGATTTCATGCACCCCTACCACCTAGAACTTAGTAAATTCAGCATGGACAGTTAAGAAAGTGCTACTCTAACTGAATCCGAACTCCTCACTTAGCGCTGACTAAGGTACGTCATCACCTGGTAATTCTTTCAGCCGTCATTGAAAGCTGGTCGTCAACTCGTCGACTGGAAAGCTGGCAGCGTAATGCTCAAGCACAAAGTGGGAAATAATCAGGAGTATATGAAGTACCGCCCAACCAACTTGACATCCATTATCTGCAAGATCATGGAAATAAGCATCAAACATGCTCTGCAGAGCACTTCCTCTACTCAACATTCTTTCCGGAATGGACGTTCCTGTTCAACCAACCTGCTATTGACGAGAAAAGTAGGCGAGGTCAATTACTGCCGGACAACACATAAATGTGGACTTTTGACTTTAGCAAAGTGTCTGATAAAGTCCCACACCAATGACTACACTGGAAGCTTAAGGAAATAAGCGTTTGTCGCAGCCTTTATTCGTGGATTGCCGATTTCCTGGAAGGTAGGACCGAGCAGATGAGTGAACGAAACGTCTTCCAAACCAATGCTCAGTACCAGCCGTGGTCCACAGGAACCTGTCCTTGGACCCGAGTTGTGCAAGCTATACATCAATGAACTTCTGCAACACTGCGAACCGCGAATGTATACGAATGTATACGGAAGATCTAAATCGGTGGTCTGATCTAATTGCCACTGATCGATCACAGAAGACACTTGATCTGGTGCGCGACTGGTCTATCAAGTGGAGCCTATGTGTAAACTACGAAAAACACTGTGCCACCGAGCCACTTGAAATTCATCGCATTGGAGGGTTTTTCTCAAAAACGCCGCTTAGGATAAGGATCTAAGGGTAATAATAGCCCCTGACCTGAGAACAACACAAGATAGACTGAAGAAAGATGTCGCTGCAAAAAGGATTTCAGATGCCATAAAAAGATCCTTCACTTGAATGACACTGAAGATCCTCAGGCTGCTGTTTACTCACGTGCGACTGATTCAAGAGTATGGTTTGCCAATTGTATAGTCAGCCTGGGTTTGAATGTGCCTCGATTGAAAAGATTCACAGGCGTAGCACTTCGTGATCACCCCTACTCCCTCCGACTCCAGCAGATGACTCTGATGACCATGAAACACCGTCGCCGCCGTGAAGACCTCATCTTTAGTAGGTGCATACAAAGAGATGAAGTTGGCAACGAACTACAGCAGTTTTGCTGGCTCAAAATAGGTGGATCGACATTAGGCCACAACTAAGTCGTTCAAATCGAGCAGGTTGAAAGTCTGATCCGCTATCGCTATATCCACTCAGTTAGGGAATGACCTGAACCGCCCACCAGACTGTTGTCGATGCGCCGACAAAAGAAAGTTTCAAACGGGTTTTGGACACCCCTACGGAAGTCAAAAGGACCGTATTGTTTTACTGTGATTGCTTTGGCTCCTTGAAGATTATCGGGTTGCGATGACATACGTGCTCCTAGTGTTGAACTAGACGTGATCAGGCTAGGATTGGACCACTCTTCTGCTCTTCACAGCTCAACTAACTAGGTGAATGATTAGCTTAAAGTGACCATAAAATGCCCAAAAATCGGATACGTAAAAGCATATTTAAATACTGTATTCAATCCTAGTTCGACGATGTGAGCAAGGGAAATTTTCTATCGTTCCAGTCTCATTTGAATTTGAACCTATGAATAAGCTGATCCGACTTTACTGGGGCACTGTGAAGAAAAAATTGGCATTCTACTACACTGAATACATGGAATAGTTGAAATCAAATAGGATGGCCCTTGTCAGCTTCATCACTTCCCGATCCGTGGGAGGACAGTGCGCGCTACAGTGAAAGTGTATTTCATAGCAGGTAAGCACAGCTTCGGGAATAACAGCAAGACCCAGACACACTAAGCAAGTCTAAGCCTAAACGTTTCGTGAAACATTACTCTGTCGAAGCACTGACAACAGACTCCGGTAAGTTGCTCCAGTCATTCACTGTTAGGGTAGATAGGGTGATTTCCGAACGGACGTGGTGCCTCCTAGGTTTAATGAGTTTCTAACCGTGTCTAAATGTTGAGCTGTTGAACTGGAAGAGTTGTTGGAGCACATTACCGAAGTCTCCTCTGAGAATGCTTGTTGTGTAAATCAGATCTACAGGATGACGACGTTAGCCCAGAAAGAACTAGTACATTCGTTGGTCGAAGAGAATAAAAGAAACCCGGAGCACTGGGATTTACTCTGCACGTCGTCTCTGAACTGGCTCCATCAGATCGCACACGAACTTAGTGCGCGGGTAAGCTGCTGGCAAACCATATTCGATGGTGGAGCGCACATCCGAAACACACAGAAGTTTGAAGAGATCACAGGTCATCCGAGAGAATGACCTCCTTATAGACCAAAACATCCTGTTAGCCGTAACGACTTTCTTCATCCCATCATGCGTTGTTCGATGATCCAAGGACACGACCACAGCGAGATCCTTCGCTCGCGGGGCAATTGTGAGTAAAGAACTACCGATGTGGTAGGTGCCCAGCGTTTCAGGAAAGCCAAGAAAGAGAACAAAGCACTTTGCACGTTCATTACATAAGCCCAAAGAATTGACTAATCATGTAGCGTGTTAAGCGTCGCCAACAGTCTGTCAGCATCATCGGGATGATAAAGCTCCAAACACCTTTAGACCATTGGTATAGATAAAATAATCAGCTTGAAGCGCAGCTGGAAGGTCAGTGATGAATATTTTTGATAGTTACGGGCCTAGGACGGTAGCTTGCGGCAACTCATTGATAACAATGTCCAACTAAGCAGTCCATCCCAGTTCATCGCCTTTCATTTGGAGCTCTCGATCTTCCTTCAGCTTGGCAGGCCCCAATGTACGCACATGGTGACAGATCGGTCAACGGGCAGCACCTGCCCGAACATTAGAGACCTCGATCGATAACTGTTGCTTATTGGAGACCTGCCTGCAAGACTCGAGTTCTGTGCTCACTTTGCGATTCGCTTCAGGTGATACCAGCAGTGCTTTCTCATGGCGCCTATATGGTGATGATGTAGTATGGAGCACCGGCCAAGCCGGTGTTGGTATTGCACTGAGTCCCCGGACTGAAGATGCTCAGGTTGATTGGATCCCAATCAGTAGCTGGATGTGTGTGGTCCGACTGGCAGGCTCGTTCAAAGCTTCGAAGTCGCGCGGGTATAGGTATCCATTCGTCATCGCTGCCTACACGCTCACAAACTATAGCGATAATTCGGTAAAAAATGACTTCTACCGCCAAATGAACGAGCTCCGCCGCAGAAGAAGCACGGACATTGGCCGGGGATCTGAACGCTCAAGTTGGAAAATTATCCACTCATGAACTTCATTTGGGCAACCAACACGGTGTAGGCTCTGTAATGAGAACGGTGAGCGGTTACTTAATTTGGGTGGAGATGCCGCTTATTTCTTGCAAGCACTAACTTCCGACACAGCACTTGCCGGGGGGTGACTTAGCGCGTATTAGCCTCAAACCAGCTGTGGACGCAAAACGGTCAAAAGAACATCAGTTACCGCTGAGGAGGCTTCGTCCAGTACTGTTGCTCGATTTGGGGCACATGTGTGGACACTTGCATGTGCTGACACGCGGATGCGTTTTGGAGGACGCCCACGACGACGCTGTGAGCGCATTGACACCAGCCAACTGGCGAAACCAGCTGTTTTGAACGCATAGCGAAGTATGCTGAGATGCGAGTTAAGTAAGCGCTCGCTGGATACGATTAAACACCACTGGTCTCATGTTCATCAGGCTCTACTAGCACCAGGCAAATCCCCATGTATTAAGTTTAATAGCAAACATAGACATTGGGTCTTTTCGCAGTCTCTGGAATTTATCGATGCTCGCCGGCACATTCCGGCTAGAAGCGAACACAATGAGACCCGCAAAAACCTTTGGGCAAAACTCCATGCTGGCCTGAAGATGGACCGCGAATCCTGGTGGTCCCTTCGTGCGTCAGAGATGGAAGTGGCCGCTGCCCTTAATAACCATCGTAAGTTATTCCGTCTGATACGGGAAACAAAGGCATCAGCAGTACGTCGGTACGCAGTATCTACGCTTCGCTGCTGCGCAACCACCACCGGTCGTACGTGGGCTAAGGATACTTCGAAGGCTTCCCTGTCCACGCGGACACGAACCCGCGCCGTCAGAGTACAGGACAAGCTCGTTACCTTTAGGCTACGAGTCGGGAAACGGGCAGTAGGAGTTACTAAAAGTATACGTGACGAGAGTAGACAGCCTATCCACAACTTGTCAAAACGCTTGGACAGTTGGACTGAGCACTTTGAAAGACAATTTAATCAGTCGTAATCGTCAGATTTCTCACCGGCCCCTGATCGCCCTGCTCTGTGGGCTGTCCCTTTGGATCTGCCCTCTAGCTCAGAAGCCGAACGCCAAATCGGACTGCTGAAGTTGAAGAAATCCGCGGGACCAGATGATCTCTCTCCAGTCATCTTCAAATTCGGGGGAGCTGCTCCTGTGGATGATTTAGACGAATTAATGAGGAAACTGTGGGACCATGAAACTGTCTCAACCGACTGGAGTCGCTCCATCATAGTCCCAATTTTCAAGCGAGGCTCACGATCAAAATGCGGTAACCATAGAGGAATCGCCTCCAAACTGCTTAACTGTTATCCTTCATAGACTGACTGGCACGCGTGAAAACCAGATTCGTGAAAAGCAAGCCGGGTTTCGTCGAGATGGTCGCTGCATCGACCACAACTTTTGCGTCAGCTGTTGGAGCACCGTCACATATACTGGCGGCCCACCGTTGTCGTGTTCCTCGACATCAAAGGTGCCTTCGATTCGGTTGATCGATGTGCCCTTTGGGACTGTCTACTCAGGAAAGATGTGCTCGAGAAATATGTAAATATTATCTGTTACGATCCTACGACCACTGTATGTATGTATGTAATCTCAACAGTCTAGCAACTAGACATAGAACCAACCACTAACGCGATTCGGAACGAACATGCACGGAAAAACTGAACACTCACAACGAAATCACGACAAAGAATCACAAATGCAACACAAATCCGGCACCAGTCAATAGCCCCAACCCCGGAAGGAAAAGACAAGACCTCAGGCACGAGATCTATTCACACGCCAACACGAGACAGACCAGAAAGTGATGAGAATTTATGATTGGTTTAGATCAAGTTCAAGTGGGACTGGAACAGTAGAAAATGTCCGTGTATGTTACTTCGTGTAAGCGTCATTGATCCAGGGTATATGTCGACGGATATCTCGGCAATCTGGGAGAGCCAAAGCGGCACGCACGAATCATAGCATGGTCAACCAACTAATGCCCACGCGACCTTCACTAGCAGTCCCCGCTGCGCCGGCCACATGAAGTAGAAGAAAAAATACATAGAAACGAAAGGCGGAAATAATCGAAAATATAAAGTAACAAGAGTAGTAATAGTTGAGGGTAGAAGTTATTATGTGAAAGGGAGGAATTGGAACTGCACATACACATTATACACGCCAGCTAGAGGTGGGAAACACCTCAGCTACTGTGTCGCAATACATAAATGAAAAAGGGAAATAAATACAAAAGTTGCATGCCAGCTGAGCTACCAGCAACGGATAGGCATCGTTTCGGTAAGTTACCAGCCGGCTACTAGGCAAAAACAATTATTATGTTTTACGCTGAGATATGAGATCGTAGGTGGAGGGGAAGCTAAAAGGATGGGGAGGGACAAAGAAACTCACAGCAGGAACGCCACTGAGGTCGGCTCCTTGCCATGTCAGCAAGTGTATCACCGTCTTTTGGACTCCAACCAGGGAGCCGTGACGCTCCAATCGAGGCCAGCACAGAAGTGAGGGCCTTCATTCCTCTGGACCAAGTCATCGCATGGCCACCACTCCTCTTCTTCCATCCACATCCCCGGTGAGCAAACAACGCACGTCGTGGAAGTCGATGGGCTGGCATGCGCAACACGTGGCCCAGCCATCGGAGCCTGGTGCGGGAAATAACGGTGCTGAGCGGTTCAGTTCCTTTTCCTGTGCCGTAAACAATGCGTCGAACACGCTCGTTACTCACGCGGTGTTCCCACCAGATGTGAGCCAAACTGCGAAGGCAACGATGGTCGAACGTAACTAGCCTCCTCATGTCCGCCGATCTTAGGGGCCAGGTTTCGCAACTGTACAGTAAGGTCGAACGTACTGCTGCATGGTACACTCTACCCTTCGTGGTGAGAGTAATGTCGCGCCGCCGCCATAGGTGGCGAAGGTTAGCAAAAGCACTTCGAGCTTTTGCTATACGGTTCGTGATCTCGTCTTCGATCTCAAGGGCGCTGATACAACTTCCCAGGTAGTTGAATTTCCGAACGACTTCTAGCTGATCCCCACTAACGGTCAGCGCAGGAGGCGATCCCTGTCAATCTTGGAGGAATGCTTTGCATTTCGATGATGCAAAGCAAAGCCCGAAGCGGCTGACAGCCAGTGTTAATCTGTGCAGCGCAGCTTGGCACGTCTGGAAGCTGTCACAGGTGAGGACAATGTCGTCTGCATACTCCAAGTCAAGAAGTCGTTCTCCTGGGAGTAGCTCCACACCTTCCAAGTCACGTCCTGTAAATGCAATCTCCATGACTTCGTCAATAGCGAAGTTGAAGAGGAAAGGTGACAGCGGGCATCCTTGTCTCACCGCTGGAGATACTGAAGGGTGACGACAGCTTGCCGTAAGCTCTCACTCTGCCTGTGCTACGCGCGTATAATGCTCGGATAAGATTTACATATTTCTCGGGCACACCTTTCCTGAGTAGACAGTCCCAAAGGGCACATCGATCTACCGAATCGAAGGCACCTTTGATGTCGAGGAACACGAGAACGGTGGGCCGCCAATATGTGTGATGGTGCTGAATTGGAACTGCAACCCAAGGGCGTCGAGTTTATGCTTAAACTCCTTCATTGTTTGTCATAAAACCACGTCCTCCGGTAATGGATTTCACGAATAAATTATTCTAGGTGACAGTCGAACGTTGGTCAAAACCGCATCAAATCGTAGTTTCTGCAACTTCATCGAATAACCACGAAGAGATGGTAGTGCAGCTGGCTCAAAAACCAAGACAAAGCTGGGCCAATCTTCCCTGTCAGAGTACGGGAGTCAGAATCAAGTCGCCACGATGTCGGCGATAGTGTGGCGAAAAGATTCCGAGCTTAAGAAGTTTCACGGGATATGAAAGGCGACGTAGTCCTTGAATCATTTTTGTGTCAATCCCAAGGACGCGCTACAGTGACATCCTATCACGAACCAAGCACGGCGGATAATCTTGAACGCAATATTCTAGGTGCGGTCTAACGAAGGTCGGAAACAGCCAAATGAACATTTCTGGTGTAATGATTCCGAACGATGTGCGGATTACCTATTGCATTCTGAAATCTTTGCCGGAGGCCATCTTCCAGTGCTCACTGGACTTGAAATGAGAAGAAAGGAGAACACCCAGGTCAACCTGCTGGGAAAGCTGAGGTATCTCATGCTCTCCAAACAGATAGCGTGTGGGTGGATCACTTGACCCTAGGCGCAGCACTGAACACAACATTAGTAATGGGCGTTTGCCACAGTAGACCATTCCCAAAGTCTATCAAGGATCTGTTGTAAATACTGGGGACCACCAAAGTCGGTCACTGAGCATCAGAATTTCAAGTCATCGGCAAACCTGATGGATGGCACGTCCAACACTTCGGGTAATTCATTTACATACAGGGAGAACAACAGTGGACCAAGGACCGATTCCGGGGGAACCCCACTAAGTACGGAGTGTCGGAATGACATGCTTGAACCCACGCTGACGGACATGTCTGGACCTTCCAAAAAATCTAATATCTATCGAAGTATCTGCTCAGATATTTCATGAGTGCAGCTTTATTGAAAGGCGAGAATGCGGGACGGTATCAAGTGCTTTAGCAACGTATATGGAAACAGTATACACAGGCTGACCGTGATCTACAGTGTTCGCCCACCGTTCTCGTGCCAACAGTAAATTGGTCAGGCAGGAATGGCCTTTACGAAGGCCATGTTGCAACGGACTGAGCAGACCAAATGTTTCCAAATAGTTCTCAAGTCCATCTCTAACCACCTCCAACAGTTTGACCAGAACGCTTGTCAAACTCACAGGTCTGTAATTCGTAAGTAAATGCTTGTCGCCCTTTTTAAAGACAAGGCAGACAACAGCCTGCTTCCAATCCTTAGGCAGAGTACAACTCCGAAGCGACATTTCAAAAAGACAATTGATGGGTCCAAAAAGTTTATTTGCTGGTTCGTACAAAAGCTTAGGGTGAATCGCATCCCCACCAGCAGTGTTAGTGGGATTTATCTTTTCTAATAGAAGAACCTGAGTCGCAGAGATAGAGATATCGGTTACAAATGAATTTTGTGGAACCCTCAAATCCAAATCAACAAGTGGCAAATTGGTCCCTCGGACAAATGAATTGGCATACTGCTCAACGATAACGCGTCTTGTCCTGATCAGTGTGTGCGGCAATACCATCGGCTCTGAGCAATACTGGTGTGGACGGATTTAACCTGCTACGTCTCCGAACATAAGCATAGAACTGTTTTGGATTCGTAGAGACTATTAGCCAGCTCCAATTCATAACGGAGCCCAGCGGCTCGTATATGGCACTTGCAAAGACTACGCACTTCACGATAGCGCCTAAGAGGGTCATCCGAGGGGGTTGACAAATAATTCTTCTGACCGACAAGGGAATGTAAGGAAGAGAAATGTCAGAGACATACGATTTAAATCTATCCCAAGCTATTTGTGTATTACCGGTAAATAAAATGACACAGGAGAACTTTTTGCTTTAACTCTCACAGCGTGAAAGTCAGCAAGCTATATAGTTCTACTTTCGGTGCTGAGTCCTTTGCAGTTCCTAATAAATGCACAGCTGAATGACAAGCAAGTATGGTCACTGCCTCCTAAGGTGAACAATAAACAATGTCCCTAACAAAGTCGCCTGAATTTGAGAAGACCAGATCCAAAATGGACGGGGTCTGATTCTCCATGAACCTAGTGTGTTGATTTACGAATTGGTGCAGTCAACAAGCTCAGCGGCCAAACCTCTAGCCCCTACATAAGTGAGATTCAGCCAATTTACTTCAGGTACGTTGAAATCACCCATCACCAAACACCCGTTCGCTGAGTGCGAATAAAATCATTGTACGTTCCCAAGGTGCTTCCAGGGCTCCTATACACTAAAATTATTTTAAACACAGTTGTTATACCTACTGCAACCGCAAGAGCTATAACACTTATCTGAAGAAAAAAACGTGTTTGTTTACAAAACACTAACGCCAGGACTGACGTACAATGCAACCCCGCCTCTGCGACGGTCGAGAGGGCGGTCAGCTCTCAGTAGTGCGTAGGACAGGACAGGATGCAGGGATGAAACAAGCTTCCGCTTAACGAGCGTCCCGTTTCGTGTGCCAGTAAGCGAAAAAGAGCCCACAGCACTGCGACTTGATAGAATATTCGTGATCCTATAATGGTGAAAAAAAACAATCAAATGCAAGAGGAACAACAAACTATCCTGAAGTAATGAGATTAGGGGCAGCCACTGAACCTCAAGGAAATTAGGGAAACAGGGCCAGCCAATGCTCGTCTACGCTACGTTTAAATTCCTCCAGTTTCGCATGCTAATAGAGCGGGGGGAAGTTTATACCAAACAGGCACAACCCGGTTTGCAAAGAAGCTGGCTCTTAACTCCAGCCTAGATCTATGCTGCTTCACTTTCATGCAATGGCCGCGCAAGTTTTCTGACGTAGATGATTCAAACAGAGGGGCAAGTGTACCTCACCGTCCATTACGTTAGAGAACAGCCATATTTCGGTGGAAGGAAGCATATATGGATGGGAATTGTCAACTAGAGCAGTCAGCACGCACATCTTGTTTCGCAGACTGCGCACGTTACTGAGATCTACTTGAAAACGTCTGGTATGGAGAACCCCGGGTCGTGTACTGCCAGAATGGGTTCTGGTAGCGCGGAAGTGGACCAACGGGAGCTTAGCATAGGGTATTGGTCGTTTTGGTCGAAACGACGGAACACAACCGGGCTTTAATCGGGGCGTTGCTTGAGTCTGTGTGCAACAGTCAAGACCGTCGCGAAAAACCGTGGGGAAATCACGGACAATGGAGTATGCCGATGGGGTTTCAAGTCAGCGACAGATAGCGTTGTGGGAAAGCGGCAAGACCCAGCTTGTCAATTCAATCCAGACCAAGAAGATTGAGATTGGAGTCGGAAATATAACAAGCATCATTGATTGTAGTGTCACCGTGGGTGACAGCAAGAAAGCTGACTGGCAAGGTGAACCAAACCACCATATGCACTGGCTGCTTTCTGAGAGGTAGCTTGAAAAGGTGAGCTACCTACGGAACTCCACAGCTCCTTAGAAATTATCGTGATATCGGATGCGATGTCTAGTTAAACGTTGGCAGAATGGTCGTTGGTTTTTACAGAAACACATTTCCGGCGAGAAGCGACATCTCATTTGAATGTAGCTAGAAGGCTACGAGAATGAACGGCTCGAGTAGGACGTCTTGATGGCTGCTTCGATTTCACGGGCTGCTTGAAACTGGCCCGGGTCTGACAAAATCCGTCTTTGTGGCCAACTTTATCACAACGTTGACATCGGTGGCGTCTGAACGATCAAAAACGAAGTACCATTCACCGCAGTGCCAAAACGGAGATGGTGGCGTCAGGTGAGGTTAGGTTCCTAGAACGGTATAAGCTTGCGCCTAACGAGCGTCCTCCTGCTTCTTGCACCGGCAAGCAACCAAGGGCTCCCGGTAGTTCGACTTGCAATTGCATTTCTTGCTTCTGCAAAGTAAACGAAGCGAAAAGAAGCCATATTGTACGTTTATCCTTCATGAGTTCTCTGCAACGAGCATTAGTAAGTTTACAATAGTCCGGGAAAATGTGATAACCAACATCTGTCTAGACCTCTCTTGAAGGCGTCAACCGTTGTATAGTTCATCAACGAAGGAGGAAGTTCAAGTGGGAATGGAACAGTAGGACGAATCCCCGTGAATGTTCCTTCCGTGGCGCGTCGTTGATCCAGGTTATTATTCGTCCGCGATAACTGGAATCCAGAAGAGTCAGATCGGCGCGCGCGAATCACACCACGGTCAACCAATTAATACCCACGCGACCTGCATTAGCAGTCCCGGCCGCACCGGTCACGTGAAATAAGAAAGAGAAGTACGAAAGTAATAAGAGCGTCAAGAAAAAAACGTAATAGATTTAATAATTCAATAAGACGAACAACCTAAGACGTGAAAGGGAATGTTAAGAATTGAAGCCCAAGAGCGTCGAGTCGGTGTTCGCACTCTATCACTGTTGGTGTCAATACCACATTCTTGGGTAGTGCATTCCAGAAATCCACCACTCGGAGTGATAAAAAAGTCCGCCCGGACTCCACCCGATCGAGGTTTGTGTAGCATCATCGAGTGACCTCGGAGCGATGGAAACCGAGCCGGTTGGAAAAGCCTAGATAAATCGGGTCCGATTTTACCGGTAGGTATGCGATAAGTAAATAAATAAATAGTATATTCTCGAATTTGTCGAGACACACCAAACCAGGCATGATCAACAAGGCCAAGACTAGGTCGCCTCGATGGTGACGATAATGCATTGAGAACATTCTCAGCGCAAGTAGTCTTTCTGGGTAAGAATGGTTCCGTAATCCACGAACCAGTTTGGTTCCAACTCTCAACACTCTTCACTGACATCCTGTCCCTGACTAAGCAAGGTGGACAAGCCTGGATGCAGTATTCCAAGTGTGGCCTGACAAATGCTGAGAATAACCTAACAAACAGCGCCCGTGATGGTCCCGAAAGCCCTGCGGATCATCCACAACATTCTGAAACACTTACGTGTAGCTTTTCTCCAGTTCTCACTGGATTTAAGTTCTGAAGACAACGTGACCCCTAGGTCTACCAAATGGGAAACATGGGGTAGTTCATTACCGCCAAGCAGATAACGCGTTTGGGGGCCATTTGGCCCTATTCGTAAGATGGAACATATTGCATAATTTATGGTCAAATGCCACAGAGCAACCCAGTCCCAAAGTTTAGTGAGGGCACGTTGTAGTCTGGGGCCCATCGAAGTCAGACACTACGTGCCAAAACTTTAGGTCATCTGCAAACATGAGAGATGGTACCTCCAGCAGTTCGGGCAGCTCAATGACATACAAAAAATAACAACGGGCCAAGCACCGAACCCTGAGGGACCCCACTGAGGACTGACTGATGGAAAGACAGATTAGACCCCACACGGACACACATCTCTCTCCCTTCCAGAAACGTGGTGATCCATTTTAATGCACGCCCTGATATTCCATAGGACCGAAGTTTCAAGGAGAGGCGAGAATGTGATGCAGTGTCGAAAGTGAGTAGCAGGAACAGTAGCTGATGAGCGCGTTGTAATACAGTCCATGGTTTTGTGAGAGGGCGTGATACTACCCGTTGCCCAAGCCGAAGTAGGGAGTTGACTTAGGGGACTCCACCCCGAGCCTTTGACTAAATAACCTACCCGCAAGGCAGCGGGGCGAATGTAGGGAATCAAGCCCATTGGGAGGCGTTGACTGAATGATCAGTTCATGCGTCTTTGTTTGGTAGATTACCAAACAGGGGCCCAATACTCCCCATGAAATTAGCGCAATTGCTGGAATACAATGCCCCACGGAGGTGGAGCATTGTCGCCGGACACTTTGCTGGAACGGGGTACACCCGAACTACCCAGCTGGCACCACGAGGAGGTAGTTCGGCGAACGCCTTGGAGAAGTCAATAAACACTACATCTACTGCATGACTCCGATCCAAAGCATCCGCCCAACATTCGCGTGCAACTAGCAAAGTACTCATGCAGGAATGACCCTTGCGAAAGCTGTGTTGAAGTGGACTGAGCAGACCAAACTCCCGCAGGTGGTTTTCAAGCACATTCCTGACCAGCTTCTCCAATACCTTGACCAGTACGCTTGTCAAACTTACCGGTCTATAATTGGCAGGAAGATGCTTGTCGCCCTTCTTAAAAATCGGGCAGACGATAGCATCCTTCCAGTCCTTGGGAAAGGAGCAGCTGCGAAGCGACAACTGAAACAAACGCGTCACTGGGCCACATAGCTCGCTTGCGAGTTCGTACAACAGCTTAGGGTGAATATCATCCATCCCAGCGGAAGTAGCAGGATTTAACCCCTGAAGCTTGTTCCAGCTGCCGACAACGCGGTCCGCGAAGTACTTCCCCCTGATATCTAGTCGAGACCCGGAGCGTCGGATCCGCCAATCGCGATCAATGATCTTTTGGCTGTGTGATTGTGGTACAAAAGGTTGTATTGGTTCATTGGGTAGTAGAGAGCAGGAGGGGAGATCCCATGTCAGCTCCATCGCTTCCCGATCATTGCTGGGATGCTCGTCATTGCGCAACGGAGACTCCGGAGAGGCCATCGCACTCGTAGCTGAAGCAACACGATCGCGGCATATTCAACAGGTGTGAATCAAGTAGTCGTTTGAAGCAATCCTCCGTCTGTGCATCAACGATCGGCGGCGGTAACCAGTTCCAAATATTCACAACGCGAGTGGATAGAGCAAGAATGGGCAGTACTTTGAGCCTCCGTGGTTTGAATATTTTCCATTGGTGGCCTCTAGCCGAATTCCCGATGTTGAGGTGGAAGAATTCTTGCAACTCTCTCCCTAGTTCTCCCCTGATGATACGACGGGTAAAAACCAAGTCCCGACGCCGGCGACGGTAATCCATAGAAAACATTCAAATGTCGAAGCCGAAGGGGATACGGCAGGTCAGATAACTCGGAGAAAATCTTCGATACACACGCCGTTGGACCTTTTCGATCATGTCGCGCTCAAATGTGGAAAGCGGGTAGGCAGCAGGGAGGCCGTATTCCAGAATCGGACGCACATGCGAGGTGAACAGAAGTCTAAAAAGTCCCGTTGTCAGGCGACAGAAAGCTCTTCGGATGGCATGAAACATCCTGTAGGCAGCGGCAACCCTCTTCGTGGTGTCCTGAGTGGATCTTAAGTCCGGGGAAACAATCACGCCCAGATCTCTCTCTGAAGTGACATTTTTGAGCAAGAAACCACCTATCTGGTAAGCGCCGAATGGTTCAGGAGCGCCGATAGGCAGGACGGAACATTTGTCTTGATTAATGGGTAAGCGCCACTGAATCGACCAATTGTGCAGGAGATCGAGCGTCTCTTGTAGTCGATCAGCATCATCTAGCGAGGATACCTCCTTCCATATCTAGATCATTCGCATAAATCAAGCAATCCGATTGAAGCTCAGACGGTAGATCGTTGATGAAGATGTTGAAGAGTTCGGGGCCGAGGACGGAGCCCTGTGGAACACCGCTGGTCATATGCACAGGGTCGGAATACGTTTCGTTCATTCTCACCAGCATGGAACGAGTGTGTAGGAAATCGGAGAGCCACGAGAGAAAGTTTCCAGTGACACCGATTCCTCGGAGTTTGTA